TAAAGGAAGTCAAAGGGATAGTTGAGAGTTGAGACATTGACAACCATTGGATGAACCGTAGAGCTTTGACAGCCAACTCTTAGACAGTCAGTCTCTATTCCTATGAGATTCTATACCTGCGAGAGCGGCATTCATGTGGATGTTTGCAGACGCAAAGAGCAGTTGCCAAATTGAGAAACCCTCAAAATCAATCAAAAGTACGTACTGTAGCTCTGTGTGTGTGTATACATTCTAGATTATTACTGCGTTAAAACATATATTCCATTAACACGATGTGTTACAGCATTATATCATATTATATCACTCCCTGATATCAACTACTCCAAGGCTCAAGACTCAGACTCGAGGTGCTGTTTTTTGTTGGGGTGGGGTGATGTACACTGTGTGGAGTTGTCAGTTTGGTACCTCCACTTCCAATGGAGGATTCTCGTTTTTCCATGTTTATCGCATAAAGATTTCCCTTGGAGGGGTATACCCCGTATTCAGACAAACCCAAATGATGAAGTTTGGACGAGATTTGAATTGGATGAATGGACACAAGGTTTTGGACTAATTATTATAGAGGCCGATTGATTGAATCACACACATCCCAGCACCATTCGAGACAGCCTTAGTTGCTACAGGCTCAAGTCATAGACACTGATGGATCATAAATCATGAAGACCAAAAGAATCATCCTGCATGAAATGGCATGAAATGGCATAACTTAGATACTCCTCCGGATTTCTTTGCCGCGTCGAAGTCTGTGAGGACCAAGCCCAACACGTCGAGTTCGGGACGGCTCAACATCACAGCTTAGTCGCTGAACCAAGGATTTGCAGCGGAAGAACAGTGGGCTTCGCTGTGTGGCCAAAGGTTGGCATGAAGTGAAGAGAAGTGCAAGTCAAAGAGTGGGCAAAGCATACCAAAGCCCTGTAGATTTTTAAGCTTTAGTTGACTTGATTCACAGCACCTTTTCTGCCTGCTGCAATCAAGTTTTGTCTTTGTCATTTCAGTCAAAGTCTAGGGTTCATTGACTCAGGTCCAATGAACATGAGCGACTTCAAGGCACCATTCTCCCAGCAGCAGGATGTTTGCCATCAGATACAAAAAGGGGGTCGTGGACGACTTCGGCGATGTGTAAAGGAAAAAAAAAGTAAAGAATGGATAAGAAGGGTGGATGATGGTATAAACGATAGTGGTTTATTGCAACATTCATATATAATATACTGTACTGTATCATTATTATAAATATATTATTATTGCGTATTACCATATATTGATATTGCTTTACATTATGTAATTCATGTTACAATTCATGTTTGTACTACTTCTGGAGGCATCACAGAGTGATGACCTCACCGGTGAGTCCGGAAGCCCAGTTCAGGTTTCACCCAAAATTCTGCAAGTTGACATTTCTTGACCTTTTTCTTTTCGGTCAAAGGATGGTGTGCCATTCACGACGGGTCGACAGCGACAGTAAGGCTTCAGCCTCCGCTTCCCAAGCTGAAATCCAGCGTCTCGGAAAAGACGACCATCTCGGACTTCCGCCAGAGCACTCAACGACAGCTGTAGGGAAGTGGGATGGACTGAGTCTGACTGAGTGCTAGTGTTTGTCAGTATTTAGTATTTGTGTATTTCTTAGTTGTTTGTGAGTTGTGATTCAATCATCTATTTTTGCCACATGTTTCAACCAATTTGAAGAATTTGAAGCCCAACAGGTGGAGCTAGCGAATGGAGTGTCAACACTCGTGGCTCGCGTTCACGTCGCTCCCTACCCAAGAGAAGCTTGGTAGCAAGAGAGTGCTTTGACAAATAGTTGTGCGTTTTATTTCTTAGGAATTCCAAGCATGTCTTGTATTTGTGGAAATTATTATACGATATTATTATACATATGTCTTGAATCACAAAAGTCTTTGCTACTACCGTCCGTTGGTAGTCCAGTGATGCAGCGGCTGCTGAAATCGCCCAGGCAACAGTCAAGTGGTTGTGTCACCGATGTCAAGCCCAGATATTTAGGCAAGCCACTTGGCTGCATGGCAACCTCCCAGAACCGAGAAGCCTACCATTGTTCCAATCCTTGCATACTTAGGGGATCTTAGGGGGATCTTGTGGCCATAGTCCTGTATAGACTAGAATTGCAGTGTTTTCAACCCTGGGCAGTGGATTGGCAATGGTAAGATGCCCAAGCTCAGAGTGCCGCTAAGCGATTAGGAGCGGCCGTTGGCTGAGTCGGGCTGGCAGTTGATTTTTGGGAAGGGGATGCGGCCTTGCCAAGCAAAAACCAAACTAGGATTCCCGTTCAGAGACACTCCAGTTCATACTGACAGTGCAGGAAAGACATGATTTGTTTGTAAGGATTTTGCTTGACTTATTTTGGCCCTGAGATTCATGTAAATGATTTTGGCGGCCGTGATCATTGTCTCACGCAATGCATTGGTGACATCCGCGAATGCGGGCAACACCAATGTGATTAGCAGGGGGACAAAACAAGCGAAACAAGCAAGCGGCGGGGGTGATGTCATGGATGAATGTTTGGCCGCTTAGCATGCCATGCGCAGGAAGTTAGTTCCGGGTCTAAAGCGATGGGGCTCTCAAGCTTCATGTCCCAATATGCGCAATATTATTTCCCTTAGTGGTGCTTTGGGAATGCTGCACCTCCTTGATGTCCCGGACCGTGGTAGCTTGTTGGATTGTACTTGGCCTATCGTGGCCTCCTGCTTCATCATGATTTGCTGCGCTGCCGTTTAGCTAATGTAATTCAGACATATTCAGACCAAATCATGACAAAGCACGAACAATGAGTCGCTTAATTGTCGTATGGACCAAGAGGTGCTACCCCAGCGAGAACTTGATCATAAACTATACTCATAAATGAAATCATAACCTCGGCTCTTGCTCACGACTGCTGGTTAGAACTCCGTCCAAATGCAACACCCAGCAAACCGTAGCAAGGCTTGCAAAAAACAACATCTTGTAAGGGGCTACGCAAGTTCCAGCCACCATGATGCAAAGTTGAAGCTGTTTCCAATTTGCCCTCCCGTTCCGGGCTTCGTTTGCTGATGGCTTGGCGACTTGAGCAGTTCTCCATCACGTGATGGAGGCGGGCTTCTGGTAGGCTGCATGCGCCAGTCAGTCATCGCAGGTTTTTCTTGGATTTTGTTTGACATCGTTTAAGACTAGTTTAAGAGACATGGAAAGATTGGAAAGCCGGTTCAACAATTCTTTTGATGCTGCTTGCTTCTTATTCGAGCATATTCTGGAAGACTCTCCAGTGCCAACCTGGCACCTGAAAATTGCTATTTGGAGGTTCATCTATATATAGATGGATACGGATCATGTTCATTTGCCATTACCATCTTTGATTATAAATTATATACAGTATTACAACATCATATTACAACTGGAGGATCTATTTACATACAGTCAGGGCATTAAGTCGTATCGATTTTGGTGTTTTCAGTCAATCAGTTGCGGTGGAGCTTCCGGGGGGGTCGCATCAATTTTCGTTCTGTCTTGCAGAATTGGGTATAAAAATGATTCAAAATTGTACTTATTTTTTTTGGTGGTTATTCCTTGCGGAACCTGTTGTCATGAATTGTTGAGAGATGACTTTTCCCCATAGGAATTATGTTGGTCCCAAAAAGTTGATGTGGCTAAAGGCCTTCACTGTATGTTTTCATGTTCGATTATATATGGGTACCCATATCAATGTTTATAAATCATATATATCACATCAGGATATAGTTTGTAATGATATATATCAATGTTTGTACCAATATGTTTATATATCAATAGTATGATACTATTTACACAGCAATATATCACAGGCCATGCGAAAATGGCTCCGGCAGCAGCTGCTGGACGCAGATGAGGAGAGCCGGACCTGGCGGCTCCGCGCCATTCAGGCGATGGATATTTTTTTTGTACCCAAAATCTGAATGGAAACCCATGGTTAGTATTGATAATATGGATGATAATATGGATGATAATATGGATGATAATATGGATGATAATATGGATGATAATATGGATGATAATATGGATGATAATATGGATGATATTGGGTAACCATTAACATGATATGGATGATATTGATGAAAATAGACTTTGTTAGTATTGAAACCCATGGTGACTTGGGTAATTAGTTTGGGCACCCCTCCATTTCAGGAGATTAACAGGGGGGTGATATTTTAGGATGTTCATCCATGTATGTCAAATTTAGTTGCGATATACTAAATTAGCAGATGGATATGATTGTCTCAAAAGCCCTCCAAACTCTCACAAAACAGGGCCTTTTCGCAATGACACTCACGGCTCTTCATAATCCAGCGATCCTCCATCAACCTTGGCCACATGTATCATCAACGGATGGATAAAAGTGTTGCCAGCTGTGCGCAAGTGTTCCTTGCATTTCATCCCAATACAAATGATGCTTGTAAATGAGCATCTGAGCGGGTGTGATGCCACTACACCAACGTTTGAGCAGAAAGCCTGAAAAAGCCACCTGGCAAAGACGACGGGGAAACAAAAGGAAGGAAAGGGAAACGAGGCCTGGCAGAAAGAAACAGAAGAGAAGGCCAAGGAAAGAAAAAAGTAGGTAAAACAACATTGTTTTTTGCCGCCTTTATCTGCCTTTATCCGCCTCTATTTTTCTTCGTTTTTTTTTCTGTTTGTTTGTTTTCTTACGTTGCTTGTGTTCGCTTCTTTTTCTCATTTTTATTTACCTGTTCATTTTTCAGATGCGAAGATATATATATATATACTGTAACTGAAAAGATAGGGAAAGGAGGCAAAGGGGAACCAGCAAAAATGCAAAGGGAAAAAACAAAAATGAGCAAGGAAAGGAAATGGAGAAAGAAGTCAAGAAGGGAAATTAGAAGGAAGGGCAACAAAAACAATGAACAGGAAAAGAGTTTGTTGTTTGCCTCGCCTCCCAAGTCATTCAAAATGTTGCTGTTTATCCTTCAACGATATGCTGCTAGAACTGCTAGAACGGAAAAAGACGTTTGCATGCAATCGACACCACAGCTCTTCACTATAAACCCTAAATAAACATACCGACATGGAACAGTCCAGGATTCCTGCACTCTATCCAGTACAGCCTGATCTAACAAAACAAAAAATTGAATCAATGTTGACCATATTGGTTAATTACGGTAATATTTTGAACTGAATCATTTTTGCCCCTTCATCCAAAATTTGATTGGAGTATAAAGATGGGGCCTGCTGATTACTCATGATGGATGTCTTGGTTCCAACAGAAGGATCTTGAACTGAGAAAGATGATTGCCTCATGACCGGCATCCCTTGTGCTGTGGTAGCCAACAGCTTTGACTGCGAGGCCGAGGCAGAGTTACGGGCTTTACAGGCGAGGGTCAAAGAAGGCACTTGATTTTCCTTGAACCTCGGTGATGCAAAGTCATCACTGGCAGGTCGATGTGCCTGGATCCCCAAAGATGGAGAGCCTAGACTCTGAAAGCGGTGATACTGGTGGTGCAGGCTCAGAACAGGCACCGGTTGTTACGGAAGCAGCTGGAGATGAATGTGGTTCTGACAGTGCATTCTACGGAAATGAGATGTATTTCACAGCATTGCATATCATCTTACTCGTACTTTGGTTGTTCCCTTTTTGGGGGGAAGAAAATGAGAAATTACAGCGGGCCACATGCCATTCTGTATGCCATTCTGCGCATTTGGAATATGTGTACTATCACGTGTATAATGTACATGCATACTTGTTTTTGCTTAAACTTTATACTAGTATATACATCACAGATTTCGCCTTCGGCAAATGCTGGATAGCAGCATTGCATAGCTAACCTGTGGGACCTAGCGAGTGGCACCACTGGCACCGCTGCTTCAACAGGCTGCCAGTTTGAACAAGCCCCAAGACTTGCAGGCGCAGTTGTTCAGCAACATGAGGTGTGGCAGTTTGGCTAGACAGTTGTAAGGTAATGGATGGTAATGGATTATCAGGAAATATTGACACAATGAGTTGGTGGCTCTTTGAAGAGGTCAGAAATATTCAGAAATGACATGTTTGTTGATGAAAAGAAATGTGAATCAAGTCTAAAGCCCTACATATAGATACAATATGATACAATTATAATAATTATAATTATATATATAATATGTGTATATTATATCGGAGAAAGCAAAACATGTCCAGACGGCAAGACCAATCCACAGTCAGGAATACCTTTTGAGACAAGTACCTCACAAGAAATGCACGATTCTTTCCTTCTCTATTCCCATCTTCCCCACATTTTCAGGGAACAGCTTTTCTGCTGTGCTGGTGTCATGGCATCGCGGCCAGGTAGTCTTGAGTCAAGTCCTAGGTCTCGAAAAGCACCTGGAGGAGATCAATGTTTCAATTTTTGACTCGGAAGATCTGCCAGAAACGTTTCCGAAAGTTGCCACGTCGCTCTGATGTTTTGTCATGTTTTTCTTTGCTTTGGAATTATCAGGAGTGGGAACCTTGGCGAGCGAAGCTCCTAGAGGACTGCATGGACTTCCACCTGTTTAAGACTTGTCTGATTTTTAGCCGAATTGTTCAACAACGTTTTTCTTGATCCTCTGGGCATTCAAATATGTTTGTTGTAGATCCACATCCCGACGACCAACAGTTGCATTTGAGGAGACTCAGGTCGCCAAGGCAGAAGCTCAAAAACTTCAGGCAGTTACCAGTTGTCAATGTAGGGATCATCACGTGTTGAGGGTTTGCACGTGCATCCCAGTGGTGAAGCATGTTGAAGCATGGTGAAATATGCATCAACATGTATCAAGTTGTTTCAGTTTGTGTTCGGATCTTGCACCCATTTGCATGCTTTGTTACATAATCTGTGTTTTTCATCTTCTCTTTGTGTTACTTTGTCAGCCCTGGTGCAGCCAACGTTCCATCTCCGGTTGCTTCTGGTCTGAACAGGTCCTTTTGGATGCACAGAAGGCCGAGCTTCCGCGGGCTGAAAGAGAGGCGAAAGAAGCCAGTAGATTCCCAAGTTTGGGCAACAATGCATCCTGGGCATCCTTGCTTGAATTCGATTACTGTAGTTGCATTACTTGTGCTGTGAGCCTATTGATTTCGCAAGTGAAACGGATGCTTGCAGTTGCAGAACTTTTGATTCTGTGTCGCACGTGCAGTCATGCAATGAATTACCATGAAGTACTGCAAGCTCCCGATAGTCCGATAGTCCCTTACAACGACTGTAAATCCACACTGCAGTCCAAGGTCAAGAAGCCCAGATCCTACAAGAGGTACGGCGTGGTTTGAGGATGTTGCATGATGTTGAGTGTATTTTACAACAGTAGGTTTCGAAGCTTTGACACCAGTAATGTTTCAGGGTTGTACATTTGCTGCATGAATGCCTGGGATGTGTTCGCAAGTTACCAGGGTGACGGAGATTAAATTTCATCAATGTAGAGCAACCACCTAAGGAATTGTGGGTCTCTGAGGATGATTGATATTGCTCCTGGCGATGACCGTGCAGACTAGAGTCTGCAGACAAAGTGCATAGGCTGCATAGTGCATTGTGCAAAATGCATCACTGTGTACCATCATTTATCCAGAAAATCAAAAAGCAGATGTACACGACCATCAGAAACACTCGCTTGGCGGCTTTAGTCCATTGGTTGTGTGGCTTTAGGATTGGACCATCGATCAATAACTCGATGTGTAGTACGATGCATCAATTCTACAATATTCATCAATATTCTACAATCCTTTTATGTTGCTTTGCAATCCTGCAACAGGAGCGTGCCAAAGTGAAAGCCGCTCATGATGCAAGATGCGCGCTGATTGCCCAGGAGATTCATGAGTTGCTCCTCAATGCAGGTAGCGACAAGCCATTGGGTAGGGGCACAGCAACCACGAGCAGCATGTGTTTGAGGACATTTTGGTTCTGAATCAAAATTGAGGTATCATAGATCCACAAAATGGGTCATATAAGAATATATAAGTATATACAAGTCATGTGTATATATAATATAATATATTATATATATTATAATATATATAATATTATATATATATTATATTATATTATATTATATTATATTATATATATGTGAACAAGTTGAGCCACCATCAATTTCCTTTTTGTGACATGTCGACCCACCTGATCCATCCTGCCGATTGCCATGTTGGTTGCCAGGTGTGCGAAGGGTTGGCGAGAGCCTGGTGTCCTTGCAACAAGGCGAAGCAGCACTGCAAGCCATCCAGAACTCCACCAGACAACTGGACGACGATGTCAAGGACGCAGCTGGTTCCATTTGGTTCCTTTCCAAGCAAACAGCAACATTTCTAGCATTTGAAACCGGCTTGAGATTTTCAGGGACGGAATTTTCAGCGACAGAATGAGGGGCATTGGACGACAATGCAAGCAAATGTTTAGCTACTGGCAATTGTTACTTTTCCATGTGCAGTCAGGGCCATACATGTTGTAGCGAAGTATCCTTTTTGAATCTTTGAAGGTAGATGTTAAGCTAGATGGGTAGGCTGGAAAATCATTGTTTAGCTGAGCTGCTGTTTTTGGGAAAACATATAAAAAAACAAGGTAACACGGGGGCTCGAGGCCTCTGACAAAATCAACATTTTCAGCAGCAGCGTACAATGGATTTTTCAACCCCCGCAGTGTTTTGTGAACATCGCTACTTTGAAAATGGCCACGAAATGCCATGAGGACGGGGTCCAAAACACACTTTCAATGGTATTTGCAAGGGATTCTGCGCCCCATCATTTTCAAAACTTTATTTTTTTGAGAAGAATTGCTTTTATCGTCAATTTTTCAGTTCCGTGGCCAACAGTTGGAACAAGTCCTTGTCGACATTGTTCTTTCTCCATACATACTTATATGCTTGGCTGAACAGCTGTGGGTTGGGCAGGCCATCGATGCGTGTCTTCACACGGCCACAAATGAAGCCTTTGCACCATGTCCACAGCTTATCAATTTGCTGCGTTCCAGCAACTCTACTCTGTCCTCGCTTCTTCTTTCCTCGCATTTTGCGAGTGAACTCCGAGCGACAGTGTTTGACCTGTTTAACTCATAAGGAAACATAGCAACTCATGTACCACGAAAAGCGCACAGCGATGCACAGCGTATCAACACGTATGTCACTTCATGTACATGAACCATAAGCAAACATATCAACTTATGTACCAGGAAAAGTGCACAGCGATGCACAGCGTATCAACACGTATGTCACTTCATGTACATGAACCATAAGGAAACATAGCAACTCATGTACCACGAAAAGCGCACAGCGATGCACAGCGTATCAACACGTATGTCACTTCATGTACATGAACCATAAGCAAACATATCAACTTATGTACCAGGAAAAGTGCACAGCGATGCACAGCGTATCAACACGTATGTCACTTCATGTACATGAACCAGAAGGAAACTTTTGTAGTAACCCGTTGTTGATGCAGCCAAACCCGGGTTTTTCTCTTTGTACTCCTCATTTTTTGGCCCTGGAGTTGCCAAGGCCCGCCTTCTACACAAGGTCTCCTAAATTTCACCCGGGATCCATTTGGTCCAGGAAATAGGTGGCATGTGTCTACATTGTCTACATGCAGCTTACATGCTGCTTATATGTTTAATCTAGCAACTTTCACAAATGCTGGAAATAGTGATCAGCTTCGAGAATACGATTTTGGCTTGTCTGGGATGTCCCGGGTACTGGTTTCCTTTGCATGGTTTATTTTCCAAGACACTGCGTGGGTTGCTTAAAGAGAAGAGCAACCTTGAATGACGCACAAAGCAGATCGAGGTACGTCGGTCACTTTAAGAAAAGTATTTGTCAACATCCAACAGGGCCATAGACAAGGTTGAGAGGAAAAAAGCAGGGCGATTCCTGCCTAACTGCAACTCTAACCGCGTTTAATTGCAAACTCCAACACTAAATTGTAAATGCCAAACCTTAGTGCAAATCCCCATATACAATTAAGCCTGGCGGGGTTCAATTATATAGGCAACTCGCATCAACTCGATGTTTTTTTCTAGTTTGCCTTTGGCAGCATCTATTTGAGGCTTAGTCTTAACCAACCTTCCAGTCAGGAGACCGCCCAAAAGCGTGAGGAACTTTGCATGCGGCTCGAGGCCAGGCCCTGTCTATGGATCAAACCCATCACAATGTGATGTGATGATGTTGTGTTCGTTGCATTGTTTATATTATATTATATATTGTTTAAAGAGCAAACGGACGGATGGCTTACAATCTTGTTAGTCGATAATTTTACAGTACTATATTTTATTCTTATGCACAGCGGTTCTTTCTTTTGAACGCCAAAGGCATTGGCCTCACGTTAGGAGCTGAAAACCCGTCACCTGAACAACATGGAGACGCGGGCCAAGAGTGCTCGGGACGTTCAGGGTGCACGACAAGCCCTACAGTCGCGTCAACCGATGCTCACCAAGCTGCAGGGCGAGGTGGGCAACTGCAATTCAAATGTTGGAGTGAAGCGCTACATTGCTACATTGGAGTGAGCAAATAATTTAAATATTTAATATGTATCTTCTTATATGTTGATATGTTGACTTTACCTCACCTAAAGAAATGTATTAAGTGATCTAAATCTTGGATATCGTCAGATGCAGCGGGGGATTAGGCTTCCCGTTGGTCAAAAGTTACCCATGATTTGCTGCACCGCGCTAGGTGTCTCGGATCCGCTCGCGATCCGAACGAAAAAAGAAACAACTTGAGGCAGGCTGAGTCTATTTGAGATGTGTTACATGAACAAATGGAAGTCAACACCACGAGTGTCAGCACCCAAGGTACCCAAAGTACCGGCTGTCAGAAAATCATACAACCGGAAGAGTATTTTGCGAGATAATTGTGCTACCGCCATGCTACACGGCTAAAATTGAAGTCTGGCATTGTTTATCCATTTAGATTGAGCCTCCTTAGTACTAGTTTGGTTTTGGTGCTTCCGGATGAGATTTACTTCAGCAGTCATTGTTCAGAAGTCAGCAAAGTTTCAGTCTTTGCAAGTCCTAATGGACGAGTTCCCTCAGTATTTTCCCAGGTCTTGGGATCTTTGCACGTTTTGTTCAATGACCCAGCTGTCACACTTACAACTCAGGCGCAACTGAATCAATCCTTGCTGGAGATGAAAGATGCAAAAGGGCGAATGGATGCTGCGGATGAAGCTTTGCGCAAGGCATGATCTCAACAGCCAAAGATGTCGACAGTCGACTGTCTTGGAGAGTTTTGCTGTTCTAAGAACTATATTGTATAGCTGAATCCATATCATTTCTGCTGAATCATTCGGCTTTAAAGCGGTGCCAACCACAATGGCACACAGTCAGATACTGGCTGTGCAGAATAAGTTCCAGTAACCTCGCCCCAAAGCCAAGCAGGTAAGACACCAGCACTCAAAGCAGCTTCGGAGTGTAAAAAGCCAAACCAGTGCCTTGGTTTGACGCTGTATTGGCTCGAGATTCGTGTAACGTCTCTGAGATACAACATGATACAACATTAGTCTTTGCAACATTTTGTAACACCGTGTTGCATGTTTTCATTTCTTCCGACAGTATATACCTGCTCATTCTCCTAAGTGCATGCTTTCTTTCTTTGTTTGCAGACTACAATGTAATTTCTGCAACAATCAATAGAGTACCAGAGTTTTGTCGGCCAAGGACAGTTCAAACACGGGATTATATTAACATATATTAACATATATTAACATATATTAACATATATTAACATATATTAACATATATTAACATGCTTCATCGATCTTCATCGCAAAAGAAGCATAGACTTGTTGTCCCCATCCGCAGCAATCTTTGAGGTAGCCTTCAAGCAGAGGTTGATGCACACATTCAAGCCAGTGAAGCTGTGGCTTGTTAAAGAAATTCAGGGTGGGTGCAAAGTGGCCTGTTTCTGTGGATAGCGTATCACCCGTCCAGTAAACGATAGATGTGGAAGCTAATCACGAAAGGCAGCTCCAGTGGGGCTACCTTGAGTTTTGCTTTACGAAGTAAAGGGAAGGGTGGCCAGCCCCGTTACCTGATTATTCAGGAGATTGCTAGTCATTTCAATTACCTTTTTGCTAGGCACTGGCCAAAACTGTAAATACTGTGATTTTTGTTGCCAGAGGCAAAAAACATTGTAAACACAAGGGTTTTGGGCTTCCGAGGCGCAAACACACATCAGTGTTTACAGTGTTTTTTGCTCCGAGAGTTTAAAAAAAAGTGGAAACACCACCTATTTGACGATTTTCGGCCACTACGGGACTGAGAAAAAAGCTACACAACCACAACAACAACAACAACAACAACATCAACAACAACAACAACAGCAACAACAACAACAACAAAACCAACAGCAACAGTAACAGCAGCAGCAGCAACAATAAAAACAACAATAAAAACATCGAAATTTATTATCAGAGTGTTGCCCGCCGGGCCTTAGCCACAAAGAATCTCCGAAGATATACCAGATAGAATGCCAGAAAGAATTGCAGAAAATATATGAGATAAAATGCGAATGCCAGATAGCATGTCAGAAAATATTTCGACAAAGTGGCACTTGGTGGGGATCACTCGAAGAAAGTAATTTGTTCCCAAGGCTTTCAGCATCCTTTCAGCCAAAATGACGCCTTGTGGGGCCCTGCGCGCATCATCGCCATCATCAACCACGGTAACGACATCAAGCATTTGATCTTGGATTCTTTTGTTTCATTTTTTTTGCGCTTGGGCTGTGGTGACGCATTTTGCACCGATACGTTTCTACAAACAGACGATTTTACGCACAGAAGCCTTACACAGAGCAGCTTTTACGCCCAGATATTCTTACACAGAGAGGTTTGTGCACAAAAGGAATGTACACAGACGCCCTTACACACAGAGGTTTTTACGCAAAGAAGGAAGTATTTACACACAGATGCTTTGTTGTACAAAGATGTTCTTGCGCGCATAAATAAAGGCACATAGGCGTTTTTACACACAGAACCTTTTCCACAGAGAAGCCTTTGCACAGAACAATTTTTACACATGTTTTTTTCTACACAAGAAACATTTGACACAGAGAAACTTGTACACACAGACTGCACACGGAAGTTTTATGAAGTTTTTACAGACCGACTTTTTGCAGGCAGAAACTTTACTCAGAGCAGTTTTTACACAGCAGAAACTTTTTCGCACAGAAGCCTTTACGCACAAAAAAAATATGCACAGCAGGTTTTTACAGACAGACGGATTTTACACAGAAAGTTCTCCGCACAGAAGTCTTACGCACAGAAGGTTTTACGCACAGTTTTTTTACATACAGACGTTTTTACCCACAGATGTCTTTACACAGAGACAAATTGCACACAGAAACTGGTGCACACAGCACGCGTTTACACACAGCCCGCTTTTACACAGAGAGGCTTTGCTTCCCCTTCTTGATCACCTACCTTTCGTGTTCCCCTCTCAAGTTAAAACAGTGCAGCAACCTGTCAGCTGCAGGATATTGCAGCAAACTGTGGTCCACCTGAACCAGCAGTTCCCAACTCTTGGAAACCCCCTCCATAGGGACCCCGTGGCATGGGATGTCACGCGGAGTTCACGAACAGTTTGGACCAAGGCAGAACAAGAGATGCAAGAACTGCGAGAGCGCGAATCCGAGTTGGAGAGCAGCGAACGGCATTTCTTCCAGCAGGAGGAAGATCTCATGCAACAGGCCACATATCTTTGCAGATTTTGCTCAGGCTCTGAGTGTTTGGTCCCACATTGCAGTTGTGTGCTTCAAAAGCGGATCAACTACGGCTTGCAATTATCACACAATCAGAATCGTCATAGTCTCAACTTAGAATGATTGGCAATGATTGGCATATTTGGCATTCCAAACCTGCCCAGGCCATCCAAGGCCTTGAATGACCTTGAATGATTCGCAATGATTCGCACCCAGAAACAGAATGATGCCGTGCCCAGCTTCCCACAGCCCACAGGCCATACGGGCCAAAGAGCGCCTCAGCAGCCTGGAACAACAGACGGAACGCTTCGAGGCAGCGCCGGCGACCGGGGGGATGACCTGGGAGGGATTATGACTTGGGGATGTCCAAACTTTGGTCGAAAATGGGCGACATGATTTTGAAAAAATCCAAGATCATCCAAGATCCAAATCCACCACCTGCCAGATCCATCCAGATCCAAGATACGTATGAAAGCCTTTGCCTGACAGGGCGAACGAAGAACTTTGATCGAAGAACTCCAACCGCTTGAGGAGACAGGGCGCCGATGTTCCTGTGGACTCTTGTGAGAGCATATTCATCAAACCATTGGCTTGGCAAAGGTCCTCATCCAGAGGATTCGTGAGTTCAAGATGTTCAGAAACTGATTGATCTGATTGGTGGTGTGTTGCTTTAAGCAGCAAGCGTTTCCAGGAGGAGTGGGAACAGGTGGAATTGCAAGCGAAAGCTTTGCAAGACCTCGCAGATGCGGACACTTTGAAAGCAAAGGATTCTTGGCCAACCAGCAGGCACTGTTTGTTATTTGGATGTTTTTGGTGGATCTGCACCTGGGAGAAAAAATTCATTGTTTCTTTTCTTCTCTTGACTAAACTTTAATTGTATGATAGATAATTAGATGAACATTCTCTCACCGCTTGCTGGCGGAAACCAGAAGTTTTCTTCAGATGCAATATACTTGCAATTCCCTTCAGATGCAATATACTTGCAAAATATTGTAAATATTCCTTCCTACTCGTACCACGTTCTGTAGAGTCTTTTAGATAGAAACATTATGAACACTCATGGCAAAGAGGCTGAGCGTCCTGTTCAAATTATTTTGGGGTCGCCGAATCCTGAATAGCATTCAAGCTCCACTTCGCACTTCACACTTCTCGCTGCACTCTTCACACTCAACACTACACACTTCACACTCCACACTTCACACTTCACACTGCACTCTTCCCACTCCACACTTCACACTTCACACCTTGCTGCTTTCTTCACACTCCACACTTCACACTCCACACTTCACACTGCACTCTTCACGCCCCACACTTCACACTGCACTCTTCACACTCCACACTTCATCTCATCTGAGCTCTTCTCACCTTATCCCAGCTCATCTCTTCTCATATGTCATCTAAGCTTTCATGAATCATTTCCCAGTACTACTAAGGAACTTGCATGCGCCGTGCGCCAGCCAGGCCCGTGCGTGCGTGCTTTGCGCGAAGCTGTTGCTGTGTTGTTGTCCCAGAACATGACCCGCGCGCAACCCCGGTGCAATGCAGTGTGAAGCAAACACTTTCCTCACACTTCACATTGCATTCTTCACACTCCACACTTCAGACTTGCACTTCATTTCAACTAATCTCATCTGAGCTCTTCTCATCTTATTTCATGCTTTCCCATATGTCAGCTAAGTTCTTCTTGGCTATTTACATGTCAACTACTTCCCAGTTCTGATGTCTTCTACAAAAGTTTGCAAAAACTACTTCCCAGTACTACTTAGTACTACAAAGCTTGCACAAAGCACTTCCCAGTACTACTGTGTACTACAAATCTTGCACAAACTACTTCCCAGTACTTAGTACTACAAAGCTTGCACAAAGCACTTCCCAGTACTACTGTGTACTACAAAGCTTGCACAAACTACTTCCCAGTACGACTTTGTACTACAAAGCTTGCACAAACTACTTCCCAGTACTACTTTGTACTACAAATCTTGCACAAACTACTTCCCAGTACTTAGTACTACAAAGCTTGCACAAAGCACTTCCCAGTACTACTGTGTACTACAAAGCTTGCACAAACTACTTCCCAGTACGACTTTGTACTACAAAGCTTGCACAAACTACTTCCCAGTACGACTTTGTACTACAAAGCTTGCACAAACTACTTCCCAGTACTACTTTGTACTACAAAGCTTGCACAAACTACTTCCCAGTACTGATGTCTACTACAAAAGCTTTCACAAACTACTTCCCAGTACTACTTTGTACTACAGGGTCGTCCAAAAGTTCCATTTGATATCATTCAGAAAATCACGTTTTAACTCTAGATAAAATTCAACTGTTGGATTTTAACTCAATTTTTCTGTAGCAGCCTAAACTATTGTCTTGTATAGTGACCCAATGGAAATGAAACGTACTTTGTTACTTTATTCAACACAAATACTAAAGTCATTTAGGCGCTCCGGAGCGCGTAATTCATTCAAATAAATTTCAACATCATTTAGTACCAGCCTAAACTATTGTCTCGTAATTATTGACCCCGAGTAAATGGAATGTACTTTTTTCAACACGTTTAAATACTAAAGTCAAATACGCGCTCCGGAGCGCGTAATTTGTTCAAATAAAGTTCAAAACTATTTATTACCAGCCTAAACTATTGTCTCGTATATCAGCCCCATGTCAATGGAACGTACTTTTTTCAACACATGTAAATGCTGAAGTCAATTACGCGCTCCGGAGCGCGCAATTTGTTCAAATAAAGTTCAAAGCCATTTAGTACCCGCCTAAACGATTGCTATATTGACCCAATGTAAGTAAAATGTTCTGTGATCAATAGATTTCAATACTAAAGTCAATTACGCGCTCCGGAGCGCGTAATTCACTCGAATAAAGTTCAAAGCCATTTAGTACATGCCTAAACTATTGTCTCGTATGCTTATCCCATGTAATTAAATGAAACGTACTTTGTTCAACACATTCAAATTTTAAAGGCGTAATTTACTTCAAATGGCATTCAAAACCTATTTCGTTGGCTACGCGCTCCATATACCAACATCTTTGTTGGGGCCCTTGGGTCCAGATTCTCAGATCCGCGGCTTGATGCTACCATTACTGTGGGCATGCACATGCTCACTTTTATGAAAGCAGTAATCTAATTATCTAAGTAAGTGTTTCAATTTGTTTATCATTTTTTGTTGGTGGAAAATGGAGACACTATAATGTCACGATTAAGTGTGGTTACATGGACTCGCCATTTTCTTCCATCTCCACTCCCTTCTATTGCCTGTTTGGCGCTGATGGTGATATTTTGCATTTAGGGGAGGAATTTTCCCCACATGATTCCGCGGATGGATTGGATCAGCCATCAGCTTCGATTGGCGGTGGAACCTAGGCAAAACACAAATCCACTCAATAAGGGAGTTAGGAAAAGCCAAACTCCCTTGTTGAGCGATTCAAGTTGAATCACTCAAGAGGGTAATTACATGTCATCGCGCTCCGCTATTGAGCCCTTTGTTTTGCAATTGATGTCACCAATTCAAGAAGAATTGCCCAACAAGGGAGTGAAGTTATTCCTCTCTCCTTTATTGACCCGTTCAACTCGAATCACTCAACAAGGGAGTTAGGTTTTTCCCTACTACCCTTTCAAGAAGAATCACTCAACAATGGGGTTCGGGCCAATCCCCGTTCAAGAAGAATCACTCAACAGTGGGGTTCGGGCCAATCCCCGTTCAAGAAGAATCACTCAACAGTGGGGTTCGGGCCAATCCCCGTTCAAGAAGAATCACTCAACAGTGGGGTTCGGGCCAATCCCCGTTCAAGAAGAATCACTCAACAGTGGGGTTCGGGCAATCGCCGTTCAAGAAGAATCACTCAACAGTGGGGTTCGGGCCAATCGCCGTTCAAGAAGAATCACTCAACAGTGGGGTTCGGCCAATCACCGTTCAAGAAGAATCACTCAACAGTGGGGTTCGGGCCAATCCCCGTTCAAGAAGAATCACTCAACAGTGGGGTTCGGGCCAATCCCTGTTCAAGAAGTATCACTCAACAATGGGGTTCGGCCAATCCTCGTTCAAGAAGAATCACTCAACAGTGGGGTTCGGGCCAATCCGCGTTCAAGAAGAATCATTCAACAGTGCGGTTCGGGCCAATCCCCGTTCAAGAAGAATCACTCAAAAGTGGGGTTCGGGCTTATCCCCGTTCAAGAAGAATCGCCCAACAGTGGGGTTCGGGTCAATCCCCGTTCAAAAGGAATCACTCAACAACGGGGTTCGGCACTGAACAGTGGGGTTCGGCCAATCCCCGTTCAAGAAGAATCACTCAACAGTGGGGTTCGGGCCAATCCCCGTTCAAGAAGAATCACTCAACAGTGGGGTTCGGGCCAACCCCCGTTCAAGAAGAATCACTCAAGAATGGGGTTTGGGCCAATCCCCGTTCAGGAGGAATCACTCAACAACAGGGTTCGGCCAATCCCCGTTCAATAAGAATCACTCAACAGTGGGGTTCGGGCCAATCCCCATTACAGAAGAATCACTCAACAGTGGGGTTCGGGCCAATCCCTGTTCAAAAATCAAGAAGAATCACTCAATAGTGGGGTTCGGCCAATCCCCGTTCAAGAAGAATCACTCAACAGTGGGGTCGGGCCGATCCCCATTCAAGAAGAATCACTCAACAGTGCGGTTCGGGCCAATCCCCGTTGAAGAAGAATCACTCAATAGTGGGGTTGGGCCAATCCTCGTTCAAGAAGAATCAGTCAATAATGGGGTTCGTGCCGCTTCGCCTTCAAGAAGAATCGCGCAACAAGACAATATAGTTTAGCCTGGTACTGAATGCCTTTGAACTTTATGTGGTGAATCATTCGCTCCGGATCACGTAATTTACTTTAATCTGTTTGTTGAATGAAGTAGGCTTCATTTCCATGGGGTAAATAAACAAGACCGTGTTTTAGGCTGGTACTAAGTTGCTTTGAACTTTATTTGAATAAATTACGCGCTCCAGAGCGCGTAATTAATTTAGTTTATCTATTGTTTAACAAATCTAAAGGTACATTAAGCTTCATGGATTCCATGATGTCTATTTATGAGTTGATAGTGTAGCCTGGTATTTAATGGTTTTGACCATTGTTTAAAATAAATTGCACATTCCGGAGCGCATAATTTATTTGATTTAAAAAAGATTCAAAATAAATGAAAACTAGGCTAAACTATTTTCTTTGATATTGACATTGACCCGATGCAAATAAAACGTAATTTATTCAACAAAAATACTACAGAAAATAGAACTTCATCTCGAAGAAATCCAATCAACTTGCCACTCCAGCCGAGCCTTCATCTTTGTAAAGCGCTCTTTGGTGATGGAACCAACAAAACTCAATAGTTAATAGGGGGAGTCCGATCTGTGTGCGAAAAAAGTCCAGCTGATTGCCATCATGTGTTTGTTTGATTTTACTTGTGGGATTCAAAATTTGGTTTCATCATTTGATTTTCAAGAGGATCATTTGGACAACCCTGTATTACAAAGCTTGCACAAACTACTTCCCAGTACTACTTTGCACTACAAAGCTTGCACAAAGCACTTCCCAGTACTACTGTGTACTACGAAGCTTGCACAAACTACTTCCCAGTACTACTTTGTACTACAAAGATTGCACAAACTACTTCCCAGTATTACTTTGTACTACAAAGCTTGCACAAAGCACTTCCCGGTACTACTGTGTACTACAAAGCTTGCACAAACTACTTCCCAGTACTACTTTGTACTACAAAGCTTGCACAAACTACTTCCCAGTACTGATGTCTACTACAAAAGCTACAAAACTTGCACAAACTACTTCCCAGTATTACTTTGTACTACAAAGCTTGCACAAAGCACTTCCCAGTACTTTTTAAACTAACTGCAGCTCCAAAACCGGATTTTGGAGCACTTTTTAAAAGGATTTTTAAAAGGAAAATTACTAGCGCCAAAATTGAGAAAATCTGCTGACAAATCACTGTCGCAGCCTTCATGCAGCTACTCCAATACGATTTACAATGTCCAGCTGCAAAAGAGAATAGTAACATTACGCATGCAGGCGCGGTGCCAAGCAACCTTGTCGCAGCCATTACAATGCGTTTTGCAGCATGACGTAGCTAACCCGCATCTCTCTCCGCACATGGCAACACCAAATGACAACAATCATGCAGCCATTCCAATGCGACCTGCAACCAAAGATTCAAGAAACGCATAGAACGACGCACACAGGAACAACCACTCGTTGCAGAACACAGAGGAGAAACCAATTCGCGCATGAAACGACCGCAGCCGCACCCGTCGCACAGACGAGGTACCTTGCATCGCCGGCTGCAGCCACTTTACACGGAAAAACACAAGGTTTTGTGCTCCGGCTTCCTCCCCAAAACAAAGCCCATGCAACATTCATGCAGCCATACAATACGGTTCGCAGCATCACGTGGCTAACCCGCATCTCTCTACGCACATGGCAACACCAATCAATGACAACAATCATGCAGCCATTCCAATGCGATCTGCAAGCAAAGATTCAAGAAACGCATAGAACTACGCACACAGGAACAACCACTCGTTGCAGAACACAGAGGAGGAACCAATTCGCGCATGAAACGACCGCAGCCGTACCCGTCGCACACAAGAGGTACCTTTCATCGCCGACTGCAGCCACTTTACACGGAAAGATACAAGGTTTCGTGCTCCGGCTTCCCCCCAAAACAAAGCCCATGCAACATTCATGCAGCCATTACAATACGTTTCACAGCATCACGTGGCTAACCCGCATCTCTCTACGCACATGGCAACAGAGCATGACAACAATCATGCAGCCATTCCAATGCGATCTGTAACCAAAGATTCAAGAAACGCATAGAACGACGCAGACAGGAACACTCACTCGTTGCAGCACACAGAGGAGGAACAAATTCGCGCATGAAACGACCGCAGCCGCACCCGTCGCACAGACGAGATACCTTTTACCGCCAGATGCAGCCACTTTACACGGAAAAATACAAGGTTTCGTGCTCCGGCTTCCTCCCCAAAACAAAGCCCATGCAACATTCATGCAGCCATTACAATGGGTTTTGCAGCATCACGTGGCTAACCCGCATCTCTGTACGCACATAACAGCACCAAATGACAACAATCATGCAGCCATTCCAATGCGATCTGCAACCAGAGATTCAAGAAACGCATGCAACGACGCACACAGGAACAACCACTCGTTGCAGAACACAGAGGAGAAACCAATTCGCGCATGAAACGACCGCAGCCGCACCCGTCGCACACGAGGTACCTTGCATCGCCGGCTGCAGCCACTTCACACGGAAAAATACAAGGTTTCGTGCTCCGGCTTCCCCCCAAAACAAAGCCCATGCAACATTCATGCAGCCATACAATACGTTTCGCAGCATCACGTGGCTAACCCGCATCTCTCTACGCACATGGCAACAGAGCATGGCAACTTCCCATCGTCACCACTTCCCATCGTCACCACTTCCCTTCCTCACCACTTCCCTTCGTCACCACTTCCCATCGTCACCACTTCCCTTCCTCACCACTTCCCTTCGTCACCACCTTGCTTCCCTTCCTCACCACTTCCCTTCGTCACCACTTCCCTTCCTCACCACTTCCCTTCGTCACCACTTCCCTTCGTCACCACCTCCCATCGTCACCACTCTTCCCTTCCTCACCACTTCCCTTCGTCACCACTTCCTATCGCCACCACTTCCCTTCCTGACCACTTCCCTTCGTCACCACTTCCCATCGTCACCACTTCCCTTCCTCACCACTTCCCTTCCTCACCACTTCCCTTCCTCACCCCTTCCCTTCCTCACCACTTCCCTTCGTCACCACTTCCCTTCCCATAATGTAAAGTTTCACACCACCCTTCATCAAGGTCAATGCTTTTCTGATGTATTGTTATGCAATGTAAAGTTTCGCACCACCCTTCATCAAGGTCAAGTCTTTTCTGATGTATTGTTATGTAATGTAAAGTCGCACACCACCCTTCATCAAGGTCAATTCTTTTGTGATGTATTGATATGTAATGTAAACTCGCACACCACCCTTCATCAAGGTCAATTCTTTTGTGATGTATTGTTATGTAATGTAAAGTTTCGCACCACCCTTCATCAAGGTCAAGTCTTTTCTGATGTATTGTTATGTAATGTAAAGTCGCACACCGCCCTTGATCAAGATCAATTCTTTTGTGATGCATCGTTATGTAATGTAAACTCATGTAAACTCGCACACCACCCTTCGTCAGGCAAAAGTCACCCGTAACTCGGAAGTACTGCTTCCCAATTTCCTTTGATAATATACACATACAATACATATTCACATACATATATATTTATATACACATGTACATTTATACATTTACACAATATGTTTCAAAAAGGATTCCAACCTTCACACGGAGACTTCTTCCTGAAAAAAATCTTGCACGAGCTTAAAAACGATCACCAATTTATAAATTACAGTTACTTTTTTTGGGTGAAGGGAATGTTGCATATTTGTAATGAAGGCTGCATTTTTTTGAAGAATTTCATTCCTTCAAAACATTCTTTTTTGGGAATAGTACAGGTACAAGCCTTCATAGGTTACACATTTCTCTTTGGACAATGAAAGCAAGTGAAGGAAAGATTGTGTTGTCTCCAAATTTGCCTTCAGCTCAACATATAGCATTTTTTTCCATCAACTGCTGTGCTGCTTAGCTGAAACTGTAAATCTTGTTCATTCAACATTCTATGTACTTATGTACTTCCACAATTATATAACTAGAGTCAAATTTCAACGGTGACAGATTGCACCAGACAACAAATTAGCATCAGGTTGTTTTTGGTGAATTTGTTTGCTGTTTCAGCGCAGAATGCATTGATGGCATTGTATCAAAGTTAACCATTTTACTGAACATGTCAATCACCTGTTCAACAAACCAGGGGATTTGCCGTCCCTTTCTAACTAAAGTAACCTTTGTGGCTGAAGGGTTGTGTTTTTCAACAACCCATTTTTTTCAATGGAATGTAGTACTGCAACACACATGGAAACACTAGAACAGTGTCTTCCCAGACTTCAAAAAAATATAGTTCTGCTTGTAAATAAATTTTGCCCCACAAAAAAAAAATAAACTTGATTTTTTCCACTGCAATCTTGGATTTTCTGTCGAAGTATTCTACTGTATAGCGGGTAAAGCAAAATTGCAATTTGTAAGCATTTTCTTTAAAAGAAAACCGGCCTTTATGAAGGAACGATATGTGTGTTAATGGAAAAGTACGCTTTGCGACAGGAATTCAGAGTGTCAAAACTACATTGCATATCATTTAGGAATATTTTCCCTCACAGGGATGCTGTTCCATTTTGAAATGCCGGATATTTTAAAGGACGATTACACGTCTTCAAGCATACCAACTTTGAGAAGTTCTAAACATGAGGGGATACAGTTTCTAGACACAAGCGTTGTATTATCTTGAAGGAAGACCGGAATCTATGACTGAACCATATTTTTTCAGAAGGAAATGTTGCACTATTGCATTACATGCTGCATTGTTATGGCTGAAGTGTTAGGATAGGATCGAAACCAAAACAAACAAAAACAAGGAAACAAAAAAAACAACAAAGTTTAAGGGGCCGTGTTTTGTTTGTTTTCTCACTTTGTTTTGTGTGTGTTTTTTGGTCCCTCCTCCCCCCATCCCAGAACAAGTCTCCTAAAACATGTTTTTCTGGTTTTGGTTGGTTCTTTTTGTTGTGTGTGTGGCAGATGGCAGATGGTTGACATTGCAATGGAAAAACATGTTTTCTCATAGAAGAACCAGGTAGGTTCTGGTGGGGTGAGCTATTATTATACACTATACACATTAAATCTATCATTTATCTTATTATTCATTGATCAACTATGGGTAATCACCTATAGGCTATAGGCAACGCAACCGTTGTTATTATTTTTATTCTTATTATTATCACTGCAGTAATGGATAATCATTGAGATTGGTATAAACTTACAGAAATAATGAACTAGGTTTTGCAAAAGTCCGTGCAAGTTGCAGTCCTTTCAGAAGTATGAGGAGTCCAACACCTTTTGTTTATCCTTCCCAAAGGATAGCCTGACGAGATGTTTTCGCCTTTGCGCAGCCAATTCACAATTCAGGAACACCAATTTGCTGCGGTTGGTTGCAAAGAAGAGATTGACGCACACCTGCGCGAGTTCGCATCACAGGTCGTTGGGTAGCAAATGGTTGCAAGTGCGAGTTCCGCTCAAACGCATGAAAAGCAACCCTAGGAGAATAGGAGAACTATGGTACCTGTATGACAAAATGCCAGACCGATCTGATGATCTGGAATGTTGATGAATGTGTTATCAGTGTTATGTTTTGTTTGTTTTGTGATGCGTTTAGAACTTCGATGTGAGTCATGAATCGGAGTTTCAGGCGGACGAGCTCACCATGTTGAGCGGCCTGGAAGCCGAAGTGACGGATCTCCGGAAACGCCGAGATCAGCCTCTGGGTGAAGTTTTATGCTGTGGAGCTCATGAGAATCATGAGATATGGTATACGGATGTATACGGGATATATGGGATGGATATGGATGGGTTGGAAGATGATGCAAGGTCAATGGAATTCCAGCATGATGGATTGTGATGGATTCTGAGTATCAAGCAGCGGCTGATTGTGGATTTTGCATGATTTTGTGGCTCATGGACTCATGGGATGTCAACCAGCCCAGGTTGATCTCGGAACGAACAGCACTGGAGGATGCCTCAAAGGTGGCTTTTCAACCCCTTTGATGCTGTGATTTGTGTTCTAGGGGAGCATGTCCTTCCTGCGGTTGGGGTACTTCGTAGGACTGTATACCTTGGTCTTGCGTGATCCAGCCCAAACAGATGCAAAGTGAGTTTACTGTAGCTGGCACAGATGGTGTTTTGGTGCATTGTGGTGCTATGAAGATGATCCGGCAAGGCTTCGCTTCAATCCTTGGAGCAACAGCTGTCAGACTTGAGGTGACCGGGGCCAGGTGGATTACATGGAAGGATATGGGTGGGTGATAACATGAATATCGAGCGCGATGAAGTGGATGTTGATTGTTCTGCAGGTTAGCCTTTGAAGTCGAGCAATGCTGGGAAGACAATCATGCATTTTTGCGTCGAAGCAAGCTGCACGTTTCCCACTGCAAGCAGCCCTCAAGTGCATGCTGTTTGTAGATGTTTGCAGTCATGTGTGATATATATATATATATTATCATTATATATCATTATATATAATATATATTATAATATCAATATAGGGTGTATATATATATGTCGTTTAAAAAGAGCTTGTCACGGCTGAGCATCCACCTGGCAGTGGCAATATCATGCAAAACTCCTTCTTGGGCTGGATACCCATGCCAGGATGAGACAGTGATATTTGATTCAAATACTTTGTCTACTAGTTACTCTAGCTGTTTAGTCCATTAGCTGTTCATGCGCACTGCCCCCAGGGAAGCTCAACGCCGATCCACACAGTTGAAGGCAGACCCACTGGGCGAATGGTATTTGGTTGTGGTTGTGGTGTTCGATATTTCATTCTATGAGCAAGGACAAAGCCAACACTTTGATTCTAAGGATTCTACTTGGTTAAGTTGTTCATGGATTCGCTCATTTATGACATCCTGTTCATTTCGCGCCGAGACTTACCCTTTTTGGCAGACATTGGACACCAAGTGCTGCTCAGCCTGTGGGGAATCAGCACATCACGATTGTTTATGATTATTCCCCATTTGCCAGGTGAGGCTCTTTGGATATCTCTAGATTTTATCAGAGTTGCTTTCTCCTCCTCGTCCTTCTCCTCCTCCCCTTGCACTGCCGGACCTCAACCACGAGTGCCAGATGTCAGTAGGCACTGCCGGACCTCAACCGCGTGCGCCAGATCTCACTCGTGCCCATGTCAGAGAGAATGTCAGAATAAATGCCAGACAGAATGCCAGAATAGAATGTGAGATAGAATGTGAGAATAAATACACTATGTCACAATAGTACTTCAGGGTGAGGATCACTCGAAGATAGTATTTTTTCAATTTGCTTGGCACCGCAGTTAGATCGCTTGTGCTGAAGAACACCTCCAAGGAGTAAATGCTCACAGAGTTTTAGCACGACGCAAACACAATTTCATCACATGTCATCTCATGATCTCAAACCTTGATAGTGGGCAATACTGTGCGACGTTGTACTATGTATCAGGCAGCGCACGAAGACTTTGTAAAGCTCTTGCCTCCCAGCAGCTTGCCACTGCCTCAGAGATCCTTTCCATTGTGCAGAGAAGAATCAGTAGTTTGAACAAGTTCACTCTTTCAGAACTGCAATGGGACACGGGTGGTCTAGGCGACTTAATTGTTCAGAATGCAGAAAGAATGCAGCTCTAGTCGATAAGATTCAATTTGTGATACTGTACAATCTCTCATAATCTCTCTATCTCAGACAAGCACACACTGCACTTCCTATGGACTCAGGCGTCAGGTAGCTATGTCCGTAGCAGCGGAGCAGTCCTTGCTACGAATCTGGGTTTAGCAGTTTTGCATGGCATCAGATCTGCCCCGGTATGATGCATTTTTTGGACATTACAACTGGATTCTTGGGGTTGATTTCTTGATTTTGAATGATTTTGATGTTGGAATGGCTTGATTTGTTGGAAGATTTCGAGGATCACAACACTTCAATGAGGGCACCCAGGGTTTGTTGGGATCCACCCAGGAATCAGCCGGAAGGCCGATCAACTGCATAGCTACTTTGAGGGTCCAGGCCATGGCTTAGGGACGACCAAGATCCAGCAGTGCTGGTTAGGGTGGAGGCAATGGGAGGTATAGGATATTTATGGATACTATATATAATATATATTATATATAATATAATATATAATATATATATATATATTTGTAATATATTATTATATTGTTATACTAGGCCTAGTATACTGTATTTTTTTATTTGGTTATTTATCTATATAAAATCATAGTTAATGTACATATATATATAATATATTATCATATTGATATACTCGGCCTAGTATACTGTTTATTTTTTTTATCTGGTTATTTATCTATATAATCATAGTTAATGTACATATGTATTATATATATATATATATGTTTGATTTGATTTCATTTGATTTGATTTTGATTTGATTTGATTGATTGATTGATTTGGTTGATTGATTATTGATAATTATCAGTTTTTGGAGACACCCATTAACAGGGAAAGCCACTGCTTCCTGAGTAGAAATGGTCGTTGTATATGATGCAGGCATTGGGACTTGCCACTGGCGGGAAAGTACCGTGTCATTCGTGCCTTGTTACAGTTTCAAGATTCTTCAGCGCTGTCCAGCGTGAAATTGGTCTAGCTTGTGGCCAAAGTGGTGTCTCCATGTTTCTCCCAAAAAATGGATGGTTTCCTATGTGTTCCATGCCCAAAATAAGTCTGACTGACCCCACTGATTGTCACACATGTGTCATTCAGAGCCGCTGCAGGAAGGCCCGCTGCGGGAAATGGACCACCTGGAAGTTCTCGTCGCATCACCCGAATGAGTGCCAGTGCGACTACCCAGTCAAGGGCAATGTGTTGGCCGCTCGCAAGTTGCGCTTGGAGGATGTCCACTGTGCTGAGTTTGGTGCTTTACATAATGTTTGATTTGATTTTAGTTAGCCATGAGCCCTTGGCTTAAAGATCTTGAAGTGTAGAGATGTTGTAAGATGTGTGACTGTTCAAGAAGATCAAAAAGTTGGATTTAAGTCAAGCAAACTCTTTGGTGATGTGTGTTGTTGGTGCTGGAAAAGGCTCTTTCCAGCTTCGGAGCAGCACGAGGGGCAGGGTGAGGGAAATTGTTTTGTGAGGCAAAGAGAATCTGGCGACAACTTCGGGGCGCCTTGCTGAGCAGCTCATGGAAGCTGCTGAGAGTCTTGGCTAATCGCAAGGCTAATCTTCTTTGAGCATCCGAAAGGATTCACACTGATTCACTTTCCAGCTGTTAGTCGCGCTCTATGACCAAATGTTCAGTCAACCGCACATCTACATGTTCGTTTTGGCTTCCATGCGGTCTTCAATCTACTAGTACGTGATACGTGTGCATACCTGTGGGGTATTTGACATTGTTTGTCAATGTTTGTCATTTTGTGGTGTTTTTGTGCTCAAGCTCGTTGCAAGTTGTTTCTTAGACTGGGGAGGGGAGGTTCGGACTCATGTACTGCCGATGATCAGCCTCTGCCACCAAGGACCATCGTGAGGGATGAACTGAAGGAAAGCCGTCAAACGCTGGTTGATTTGCAGCAGAAACTGGCGGATGGGTCGAACAAGAGAGGTCAAGAGATGCCTGGCCAAAATGACTGCTTTGTTTTGATTTTGTTTTGTTTGTTTTATTTCACCTGATTACACCGGCCTTTTCCAGCTTTGACTCAGTAAAAAACCTTTGCAATGATACTGTCTCGCATGTTGTTCGGTGCAACATCCAAGGATCTTCAACTTACGGTCCCAGCGGCGTGAACTCGAAGAGGAGAGGTATTCAGCGCTACTTGTAGTTTGCAGATTGAACCCAAACATTTCCCAAGCATAGTTGCTTACACACTCTTACACTTTGGTCAGGGGAAGATAGCTTTGGAGGAACTTGAGAGATGGTTGTAGAAGGGTTAATATATTTGATTTACTTGTTTGCATTGCGTTTGTTATTGCATCACGTGCTCTCAACGGTCCTAGCACTGGCAATTTGGAGGAGTTGTGCCGCGTCGAAGCAGCGGTGCATTCTGCGAGTACTTCATCAGCAGCTCTGGTTGCGGAGCTGGAGCAGCACTTGAAGGAGACATCCGACCTTAAGTTGTGGTCGCTTTGGAACCATGGCCACTGGACTTACGCTTCAAAACCTTCTCCACGGTCTTTGCACTGGAACACACATTCACAAAGACAGATCCTAGCTAACATCCGCTAACAATCAACTCAGTCATTGCAACAAAGCCGATCCATGATCTGAGATTTTGATGATTTTATCTTGGAGGAACTCCAGAAGGAAGCATCTACTGACGAAGCGACGGTTGCGGCAGAATTTTCCGATGCTCGGAAAATGCTTTAAACAAATTACCGCTGCTTCTTTTCCTGATGATTGATTGATTTTGTGTGGACAGGGGTGGGCACTGGCATATTGCAGCAGAGCATATTGTAGCACTTCGCAGAAGCAGAAGACAGGCTTTTCACCTCTATATTTGCTCCCTTAGTTCCGTGGAAACATTCAGAAATTACATTGCTGAAGTTTCACTGTGTTTAAGAAGATCAGAGCTGTCCGTGGAATGAGGACTTGCTACAGCAACAGTTGCTCGAGCGCGATGCCCTCAAGTCACAGGCGCAGTGTGGCATGCTGGTGCTCGATTGAGCTTCAGATACTATATTTCTTGCTGTCTTTCATCAAGTGGAAACGGAGGGCTATCTTTCAATCAATTCCAACCAATTCCGGGCCCATTCGAAACTAAAGGTGTTCCCTACTTTGTCTGCCTGCCGTTTGGGCCAGCCGCGGGAACGCAGAAATGGATGCTGCATGATGCACTGCATGATGCACTGCATGATGCACTGTATGATGCACTGCATGATGCACTGCATGATGCACTGTATGCTGCACTGTATGTCGCTCATGCGATGGCCACACCAGGTTGAAGAGCTGAGACGTGCAGAGGCTGAGGACAGTAGTGCAGTTGTCTTTCGTCACGCGGTCTCAGGTGTTTGGCAACCGTGTTAAGTATTTTCATACTTAGATTATACAGTATAATAGTATAATTACTATAATTATGAATACCCAATAATGGGTATTATATTATATTAGATTATCGCAGAATCTAAGGGATGATACCCAATTCTTGGTTGGAAGACATCGCGTCAGCTGGCAGGAAGCAGCTAAGAGTGAGATGGCTGCGGCAGCTTTGCGGGATCGGGAAGAGGCTTGGGCCGTTGCTGGGATCACTGCTGTGTCGAGTGGGTCTGTGCCCAAAATAAAGTGTGAAGATTGGTTGTCTTAAACCCTCAAAGAGACAAAGAGATACATCGGTTGTCTTGGGTAGTATGGTCATTGGCTGAGTACTGTTTGATGCTGTGTGAAAATTGTTTGTTGGATCCATGGATTGCAGCAGCCAAAATCTATCAAGTACAGAACCGATTGATCCGATTGCAGGTTTTCACCTTGTGCCAACATGGGTCTTCTCCCTGTCATCTCAAGACCACCCAACGGTGAGAAGATGTTTGAAACATGTTGAAACCAGTACCTGTGTCCGATGTAGGCCAAGAAGCGCCTGAAGGATCTTGAGACCGAGCTTTCTCAACTCCAAGCTGAAGAGGTGGGCAATGGTGAACGATGGTGAACGTATTGTGGCTGGGTTTGTAGAGATGCCACTGACAGGCTGACGCGCGGCTCTAAGATTTGATTCGAATAAATGCCAATGAATCCTGAAACTTAAAAAAAAAATACAAAAAACATATGTCACAAAGATTTCAAAAGTATTAAGTTCAGTAAGGTTCAGTATTCAGTATGAACTAGTATTTTGACAGCATTACAATAGTGCGTGGTAGCTTTTTGGTGCTTTCATTATTTGTTGTTCTGCAATTCGGGCCGACTTAAGAGTCAAGAGCCCCAAAATTTCAAGCAGATTGATTGGGGCTATGACGGCGATATTTTTTGTCACCGATATACTTGAGATAATATGGAAGTATGTCGAACAAAGTTCATTGATTGTATTTCTATGTAACTATTTCCACAAAAAATAGGAAAAACAACATCCACACACATGTTATATGCGATATGTTGAATTGTTTGTTTTTTTGTAATGATTCCAATAGGGTAGCATAAACAGACAGGAAACGATAGGATAGAATAGATAGGATAGATAGGAAAATTAGTATAGATAGGATAGTCAGGAAGATAGGGTAGATAGGATAGATTTAGGATAGGATATAGGACAGGACAGGATAGGATGCGATAGGATAGGAAGATAGGAAAACATAGATAGATAAATATATAGATAAATAGATAAATAAATAAATGAATAACAATGTATACGTAGATAAATTGATAAATACATAAATTGATTGATTGATTAATTGAATGAATAATAGATCGAATGAAGGATAGATTGAAAGATATGTATAAGATGGATTGATAGATGGGATGGATAGGATATAATAGATAGGGTAAAGTTGGTAGATAGGATAGGATAGGACAAAATTAATATAATTAGATAGGGAAGATATATAGGATAGGACAGATAGAATTGATATGGTACATAGGGTAGGATACACTAGATGGAATAGGATGGATAAGATATATAAAATGGATAATAATAATAATATATAGATATAATAAAATAAATTATATTGAATTAATTTGGATAAAATAAAATAAAAAATAACAATATATAAAATAAGATAATATAAAATTATACAACACAAAGAAGGAAAATTATATAT